GAGAGAGAGAGAGAAAGAGAGTACGCCGCGATGCAAATTTTACACAGGACCGGAAATTTAAATTCAGTCGATAAATCACTTTGCTTGTTGATTTTTGCCTGGCGATAAGCTGAGACACAAAGATGAGCCTCGAATATAAGCTTTCGACCTTTCGATACGACACACAACTCGTGACTATTATTTGGATCAATTAGTTATTCACATCACAACTGCGGCATGTGAAATGGCTAGGAGAGCAACAAACTATATAATATTGATTTATGCAATGTTTGCAAAAAAAATCTTATTAAAAATGGTGATATAGCAAACAATACTGGAGGTAGTACCATTATCCGCAGTAATAATAGAGGAGAATACACGAAAGAACTTTACTGCGAAAGCAATAGTAAAATTTCATTTTAATCCTTCGAAATAGACAGATAACGTAGCTATTTTTCATGTAAGTTCTCTAATAAGTTCTCTAGTTCAGGAATAAAGAGTAAATAGAATCTGTCTCTCTTTTATTAAGGAATATACTAAATTTCTTATATTATTTAGTTCCTAAAATATATACAGGCTAAAAAGGACTAATCTCATAAACGAAATGGAAAATGATAAAAAATTTTTATCATTAATTTCTATTACTAGTTACTAATTACTAAAATTTTTATTACTGATTACTAATTTTTACAAATGACTCTTGTAAAGCTAACCTAACTTAAGAAATTTATTACTGGCTGTAATAAATTGGCCAGTGATAATAAGTAATTTTATTATTCGTATGAGTAATTTTATTACAAGTATTTCATACGAGTAATAAAATTACTTATCATCACTGGCCAATTTATTATAGCCAGTAATAAATTTCTGTTAGGGTATACGTCATTCGGCGCGTTTCGCATTCTATCGTTTCAGAGCGTGCTGGAAATTCGTTGCTGGAATGTTTTGTAGCTCCCTCGTTACGTTATCTTGAATCATCTTAATATCGTTGAATCGCTGTCCTTTTAGTTTCAATTTCAGCTTTGGAAACAAAAAGTATTCGCCGGTGCCAAATCCGGCGAGTACAGTGGATGGTGTAGCATAGTTTTTTTTGCTAAAAACAGCTACGAATTACTGCTGCATTGTGAGACGGCGCATTACACAATTCTATAACAACCGCAAACACACGACACGCAAAACGTTGTCTCGGCGAGAACTCAACGGAAATTGATGCAATTTGGCAACCGTATTCAAAAGCCTTTGGACTACATGCTTTCGTTTGTCGCATATAAATAACGTCACTTACACCGTTTCTACTACATCAGTCCTAAAACTTTTTAGCCACATTATGTATAAAGCATGTATGAAATGGGAGGATAAGAAATTAAAAATAGAACGATATGTTCTTCGGTTTCAATGCGTTATAGTAACTTTTACGGAATTACACATAGAAGAATGATTAGTTGAATTATTAAGAACATGATTTAGTTTTGTGGGTTTTTTCTTTCTCAAAACCTGATTTACTTAAACAAGATAATGAACGAATATTTTAATCAAAATATTTTCTTTTGTTTTCTACAACTTTTTTCCATCTTTCTGGCAAGAGATGGATTCCGTGACAGTAAAAAGATTTTTTTTGTATTAATTCAATTTTCAACAAATTTTCGCATTTTTTCGAAGTTATAAAAGTGTGTATCCTCTAGAGCTTGTTGCATCGACCAGAGCAAGTGATAATCGGATGGAGCAATGTCTGGAGTATATGTGGGGTGCGGGGTAAGACTTCCCATTCCAGCTCTAGTAGCGTTTGCTTCACTGATAATGCAACATAAGGTCGAGCATTGTCATGAAAAAGAATCACTTCACATCGTTTACTCGCAATTGGTGATCCAGTGCTTGCTACAATTTGTATAATTGTTGTCGATAAGTGACAGTTTCATTCGGATTTAACAGTTTATTGTACACAACACCTTCTTGATCCTATCAAATACACAGCAATACCTTTGAACCGTGAATATTGCGTCTCAAAGTGGACGTTGTTGGTTGGCCTAGATAAACCCATAATTTTTTTCCGTTTGGAATTATCGAAATAGATCCATTTTTCATTCCCAGTAACAATTCGGTATAAAAAACTTCATTTTTTGTTTGGCTATTAACAAAATGCAAATGTTCAATTGGTTCGCAATTTCCCGATAATTGATATGACTCACTTTCCTTTTTTGTGAATCTTTCCCATATCATATAAACGTTTAGTAACGGTTGTGCGATCAATGTTTAATCTAGCAAATTCTGAAGCGGATTATGCCGGATTTTCGCCCAATAATGCTTGCAAATCTGCATTTTCAAACTTTTTTGGTTGTCCCGAGCGATCTTTCGTTAACATTGAAATCACCACTTTTGAATCGTCTAAACCAATATTCATATGTCTGAATTAATGGAGCACCATCACCATAAGTTTCTATCAGAATTCTATGATCTTCAGCCGCCATTTTCTTCTGATTAAAAAACAAAAGCAATATATATCGAAAATGCTCTCTTTAGGGAGCTTCATTTTAAGATAGTATTAACACGATTTTTACGTCTATTATTAGTAAACGACTAAATACCATGGATTAATATTTAAACGTTAAGAAACAATAGCTGTGATTAAAATGTCCTCGACAAAACTGACATTAGTGCTATCTCTTGCAAAACCCTCAAAACTAAATCATATTCTTAATAAAATGTGACAATGAACGAACTAAACGCCTTTTGATGAAAAGAAGCAGTACTTCTGACTCTTATGAGCCAGATTTGACTATAGGAGCCAGAAATTCTTTCTCCTTCAACTGAAATACGTTAGTTCATGCATTCTCACCTTAATTTAACTGATCCTTTATCGTATTCTGCGTACCTTACTACTACAATAATAGTAGTAGTAACAGCAGCTATAGTAATAATGATGAAAGTAACGATAATAGTAACAATCCTATTAATCAAAGCGAGTTCTTTACAGCCATATAAAATGTTATGAACACAGGATAAAAAAAAACTCATCTTTCAGGTAAGAAGCTATACCTAAAACATGTGGAAAATAGCACTGTGCATTTCTAATTTGCCAGTATGATCTGAAGAGAAGGGAATCGTCACAAAGTGACTCGTTCCGTCAGTCTCCTATTTAATAAGGCTTTCTCTAGGGATCTGATTTGTAAGAATCGCTGAAAATTTCAAGGGTATAATGACGCGAGCATGCGCCTGCTCGCTTGCCTGCGACCTCGCGGTCTCTTTTTCAACAAGATCTTTCAAGTTGCCAAGAATACCGCCTAACGAGGCGGTTCAACCCGTTACTCCGTTTAACGACGCCACAAAGGACCCAGAACTTTGTGACGTTTCACGGAAGAGAAGCAGTAGTTAATGGGGTTATTTTTCACATTTCGTACTCGCGCTGCTAACGAAAAGATGTGGGTAGAAAGAACGAGATCGAGGGAAAAAGTGTGGGCGCAAAGTCTTATCCGCAGAGAGATAAATATATATCGAGTCCTAATCAACTTAATGAGGCAAAGGGAAATGGGAACGAGGAGGAACGTCCGGAATGAGTTTCATCTAATGGCTGAAGAAGCTATTGAGAAAGCATATCCGTTTGATAAGCATGTGGCCATTTATGGCTATGCAAACAGATCGCAAGGTAATGCACGTCGATTGAGTCTCGAGTGTATTCCCGCTCGCCTTTGTGCATTGCATATTTCTGACTTCTATCTCTCATTCTTTCTCTTCCCTCCATTCTCTCGCATCCTCTCGATTATCCTTGAAAATCCATACGATCAGTCGTATCGAAGAAGGCAGGAAATGAGAATATCGATTGAGATGAGAATAGCGAAATCTCAACTATACTTTATCGTACGCGGTTACACATACATACGCACGCACGTACATATATACATATATTGGGATTACGTAGTAAAACGATTAACGTTTTGTATTCATAGTCATATCATCGATGTTATTCGGGTGTTTCGAATGGAATTCTCTGTTGGACAATAAGCACGGAAGAATATTAACCTTTTGTGTGGCAGTGGTATAGTTACAACTTTTTTCTCTTCCATTTTTATGATGTACTATTTAGTTTAATGAAAACAAGTATCTCATTTTCCTAGTATATTAATACTAGTATATTAATACTTACTTTATACAGGGTTTGTAAAAAGTACCGGGGCAACGAAATATCTCGAAAACTAAGCATTTTAGACAAAAAATATTTCAGACAAAACTTGTATGGTTTCAAGGGGGACATGAAACAACTACATTATTTTGTTTGCAGATAGCGCTATTTTCGAGATATTCACTGATCATTATTTTTCTTAAATGGAAACTCACATTTTTTTTATCATCTTTATCTAACAATTAATTTGAACAACTTTTGTCTGAAATATTTTTTTCTAAAATGCTTAGTTTTCGAGATATTCGGCTGTCCTGGAACTTTTTATACACCCTATATATTTCCTATGATTTTCATATCCGATTGTGCATTTTTAATTATTTATTAACAAATAATGTTGAAAAAAGCGATTAAAAAAACATTTAATTTCTTAGAAAGTATTTAAAATTAAAAGCTGAAAATTTCACAGAATATTCTTCACATGTTAAGATATAACATATTTTTTTCTAAAATTCTTCGCACATTAGATTTTTTTAATAAACAAGTTACTTGAGTGAATTTTGCAAATCTGACATAAAATTCATAATTAACAATCTGAAACATTTTTATATCGTATATCTGATTTATATTTATTCAGATTTACACTAATTTATCCCTATCACAGCGATATTCAATCTGCCATTTTGAATTTTTGAAATCTAACTTCGGATTTGTATAATTGGCAATCCCAAGAAGATAGAAGTGTAAAATTTTACAGAAATCCGTCAGGTAGAAAAAATGTGCCGTATAAAAAATTAATTAATGGTCAAGCTCGCACGATATAGCAGTGATTGCGTGTTCGATGCACGATTTGAGAGGGTGAAAGAATTGATGTGTAAAATTCAATAGGATATCCAGCAACTTCACTCACCCTGCGTCATTGGCGAACAACGTTCGACTGATTCTCGATGCACATGTCTATTTCGGAGTCCTCGAAGCTATTCCCGCTATTCCCGCACGGTTACTCGATCTGCAACAAATTTTAATTATGTTTAATCATGCAGAGATGCAATGGGCGTGCGCGAGGACGCTTTTGCCAGTGCTGAAACGGTAGCTGCGCCGTGTGAAATTTCATCTTCAAAGTCAACAATGCCGACATCGATCGCACACTGGATATATTTGATGACATCCGAATGTTTCTTGTATCGCTTTATGGCGCGTCGGCGCGTCGGTGCGAGAGAATTAATCGACGTATCGAATATTTGTCCTCGCGAGTCATCGGTGCTTCGACGGGAGAGATGAATTCATATGAACGTAGCTCCTATAGCGTCACTTATATCTTGCGTGAATCGAATAGAGCGACCGAAATGGAGACGAAATTTTTTGTCGAAACGTTTGATCTCTTCTCACTCACTCGCCTAGAAAATATCTCTTGAGATTTATTCGGTATCTGGTACAATTTTCTAAAAGAATTATAAACTCTGACTGGAAAATCTACATATATTCTGGTTAGAAGTATAAAGCCCCGTCTACACATAGCTCGAAGGACGTAGATGCAGAAATTGACCAATCATAGTCGATCATTTTCCTCGTATTCGAGTGTAATTGGTCAATTTCTGCATCTTGCGTTCTGCGTTCTGCGAGCTATGTAAACGGGGCTTAAAGGTCTTTCTACAATGGCTGCAAAAAGGCTATAAGCGTAAGTAGTAAGAAATAAAATTATTTTTATAGTAATCGACCGTAGTTGGTCTATTTCTTATTGCTTATGCTTACAGTCTTATTCTTGTAACCATTGTAGAACAGCCATAATATTCCAAACACGCAATTCTAAGTGAAAAACTCAAACAGATCATATTTGATCATATCCTCAAATACTCTCCCAAAGTTTTTATCTAGTTTACATTTTAGATCAGAATTGAAAAGGAAATCAAGAAACTTATCGTGTTTCGTGCCAAATGCACACACGAAGCAAGATGGACTATTATATATTTATGCAATGCGTTTCGTTTAACATAGCCAAGATTTCTAATTTGATCTTAATGATTAAACCGATAATATTCTGGATATACTCAATCGATTTCTTGGGTTTATATCAGATAATATAATGTTGTTATTCTCCTTTTCCCTTACGCATCCTGTAAGTCAAGATATTCTAACTTAAAGTCCGAAAATTAACAATTAAGGAACGTAATTTGATACAGTTACGGATTCTGACATTAGATGGTGAGCTTGCTTCCGAGAGAAGTAGAAGAGAACCTGTCGCTACTATACGTATGAAATCGATATTGCTTTGCGATATTTTTGTGTTAGTGCTAAACAATTTAACAATATTAGAAGACAAAGAAGAAGCAAAAAACTAAGATATATTGACAATTATTTCTAATTAGCTTGTAATTTGTCGGCAGAATTTATTGACGTAATCTGGTCATATTTGTTTTCATATATATGATGTCCGGGATCTTTTGGAAACGAAAAATTGTGAAGATTAATCAGATCAAACTGAGAAGAAGAATCAAGTACCATTTTTCGACAGGTTCAAGATTCAAGGTTCAAAGTTCAATATATTCATATCGATCGCTAGAAACAATAGCTATGTATCATATAATTGTAGGTCATTCTAAACAAAAAAGTCTTTCACCATTTTACAAATAAGTACGCAAATTTCCAAGTTACTGATTAAAAGAGCTTCTAGATGTAGCCATTTTCAATTATTAATAACTTAATAATTATTGCGATTGAAAATCTAAAGGGTTCAAATCAAGAGATCGTGCAAGCTAAGTAATAATCCTTCTCTGCCAATCCATCTATTGACATAATTATTATTCAAAAACTCTCAAGCAATGCGACTGAAATTTTGGCCTGTTATTATTTTATCATGTTTTAAATAACTGATAAAAGTGATTTCACGGCAATTCCAAAAAACAATAACCTTTGCGGCTGATGGAACTGTCTTTGTTTTCTTCAGAATTAGTTCACTATCTGCTCTTTTGACTGTTCTTTAGTTTCTGATATGTAGAGTGATGGATCCATGTTTTATCGACGGTCATTAAAAAGACGCAAAAAATTTTTTATATCGCATTTAAATGTATTTAAAGATTAAGAATTGTGTTTAAAGATCGAGAAATGTTCATTCAAACTTGCTTTTAGTCGATTGTCAGCAAACATGACACTCATCGACTCATGTCCAAATGTTGATATAAAATGCGATATGCACGGTTATATAAGATGCCTTTGCTATTTTTCTCAATATCTTTTTTTTAATTAGCAATCGTTCATTACGATTTTGTAGATTTTTCTAATAGTTCCTTCATCGGTAGTAGTTTTTGGCCTACCTGAGCATGGTGCGTCTTGTACGCTTGTACGACTGCATTTAAATTCAACGACCCAATTTGCAACTGTTGCATATGAAGGAGCAAACTTACCATGAACTTTATCTAACTCGGTTTCTTTTATGACCAAAAGAAACCAAAAGTTGTTTACTTTGGTTGACTGCGCCACAATTATATTATATGTACGATCTGAAGATTTTACTATAGTCTTTTTTATGGATCTGTTTCTTTCAAAATATATTAAAATATATCAATGGTACATGTTTGCAATGCCGTATTTTGATTCGTTCTACAAACTTTCCAATTAATTTTCATACGACGGGAGTGATAATAAGATTTTTAGTATCTTTTTTAATAATGAATAATTTTATCCTAATTATCCATGCTCTCTGTAAAATATATGTGATATCTGTGACAAATTCTGTTTTTCAAAAAAAGGATAAAAAAGGCGTAAAGTACATACATATCTATATATGTACAAAAGACTAATTTATGAAAAAACTCTATTCATAAAGAAAATAATTCCTAAAAAAGAATTCGTAAAATCTTCCTTCAAAATTATTTCGATTGATTTAATTATTTAATGATTATTATTTAATCATTAATATTATAATATGATAATTATTATATGATTATGATAATGATTATTAACCTTCGAAAAAATTCACTTTATTTATCCATTTTTTCGATGTTACTTATGTAACGTATGTTATGTACGTTGTGAGAATCTACGTAAAGCATTGAGAGTATTAATGTGACTTAGGCGATAATAATGTTACTCATTATAACATACATTGAAAAAATGAACACATTAAATAATTGTTGTGTGAATCTTAATTTCGTTTCTTCCAAATTTTTACTTCTGTATATTTGTGTGAACGTATGTGGTTACAGAATTAGGAAATAACGACTTGTAACATCGTCGTCGTCAAAATGAAGGACGATAAGCAACGAATGAGAAACTGTTAAGAAATTTAAGGAATTCTTTTTTATTTTGAAAGAAATTTTTACAATTTTTTTTTAATTAATTTCTTACGAATAGAGTTTTATTCACAAATTAATTTCTTTACGAATTACACAAAATACACTTCGTGTATTTACATAAGAAAAAGTTATTAGAAAGATGTGAACTTTTTACTAATTTAAATATTTTTTACATTATTTATTCTATTGAATTTAATAGTTTACATAAAAGAATATATTCTTTATGTATTTCCATAGAAGTATATTGGTTTTAAAATATACGTGTTTGCACGATTTTCCACATTTCTGTTTCAAAACTGTAAATGAAGAACTCGTATCCGCGAGAGAAATGAGATTCTTAATTGATGTCATAGTGGCATAACCTGTGCTGCCACAAGTTTGTCTCTAGTTGGTACTTGTGTTCTTACCAGGAAAATCTTAAAAAATTTCTACAAAGAAAATAGACCAAGAACCAAGTATATAAAACCAAGTATAACTACCAAGTATATAAAAAGTGCAAATTTGTATAAAATAAAATATAATACTGAAAAACCAATTCCAATATATTTAACCTTCGGGACAAAAATATTTTATAAGAAAAATTGTATAAGAATAGTAAACTCTCTATGATTTCAAAAACTCACTTTGCTTTAAATAGTTTTAAGGGAAAATATAAAGATATAAGAAAATATAAAGAAAAATATGAAGATATTTAAACAGGAAAAAATATGAAAATTTTAAACAGCAAAAATATGAAGATATTTAAACAGTATTTATTAAAAACACGGTGATCATTAAAAATCGCTAAGTAATTATATTTTACTTTCCTTCAATTAAAAGTTATAGTTCGACATGCTTTAAGAAATATTGTATGCCGGGTTCAGAAATATGGTTTTAAAGAAAATATTTAAAATAAATAATTATATGTGCACAAAATATAATAAGACTAATATTATTCGCCAAGTACAAGAAACTTAAAGAATTGATAGACTAGAGAAGAAACCAAGTTAGTTAATAAAATTTTGCTTTTATGAGTTGTTATATTCGAGATCTCAAAATTGATTACATCAATTTCTATCAAATTAGTTGCAATTAAAAGTGTTAACATTTGTGCCAGAAATGCTATTAGATTTTTAATTACACGGCTTATTCTCGAGATATTTTAATTAAAACCATAAAATGAAAACTCCGGTAAAAGCTAGTGACTTCACGACATTCTATGAATATAGTCATGAATATAGTCATGCTCAGATTCGTCATCCTATCTTACATAAATTGATACTAAATTTTTATATAGATAGGAGACTTCATTAATACCTATTCTTTAAACATAGTGACATCGAAAATTCTCAAGCAGACGTGTCAATATTTATACTTAATAACTGTTTAGTACATCGGCAACAGTGTTTTATTACTGCTGATCTATTAGTATATGTGTGAATTTGACAGCTTTACGTTTACCCTATATGGCGCGTATTATGGCGGTGTCGATAAGCTACTTCGTCTGTAATAAGAGAAAGTAATATTTATAGACAATCTGTCGGACTTCCGAAAACCGCCATATAGGTAGGGATAAATTTAACTTAAAGTAAGAAAAGTTAAGAAATAATGTGACACACACAGGAATTAATATAAAACTAAATTTTAAAATAAAGACGTAGATGCTTCGAATATATTAATATCGAACCTTTCTTAATTTTCCTTACTTTACACTAAATTTATATTTACATGATTGTGT